ACCACTGTCTTTACTGGTCCCCCACTGAAGGACCACTGTCTTTACTGGTCCCCCACTGAGGGACCACTGTCTGTACTGGTCCCCCACTGAAGGACCACTTTCTGTACTGGTCCCCCACTGAAGGACCACTGTCTGTACAGGTCCCCCACTGAAGGATCACTGTTTGTACTGGTCCCCCACTGAAGGACCACTGTCTGTACTGGTCCCCCACTGAAGGACCACTGTCTGTACTGGTCCCCCACTGAAGGACCACTGTCTGTACTGGTCCCCCACTGAAGGACCACTGTTTGTACTGGTCCCCCACTGAAAAACCACTGTCTTTTCTGGTCCCCCACTTAAGGACCACTGTCTTTACTGGTCCCCCACTGAAGTACCACTGTCTTTACTGGTCACCAAAGATGGACCACTGTCTGTACTTATTGGTCCCCACTGAGGGACCACTGTCTTTACTGGTCCCCCACTGAAGTACCACTGTCTTTACTGGTCCCCACTGAGGGACCACTGTCTTTACTGGTCCCCCACAGAGGGACCACTGTCTTTATTGGTCCCCATTGAGGGACCACTGTCTTTATTGGTCCGCCACTGAGGCACCACTGTCTTTACTTACTGGTCCCCACTGAGGGACCACTGTCTTTACTGGTCCCCCACTGAGGCACCACTGTCTTTACTTACTGGTCCCCACTGAGGGACCACTGTCTTTACTGGTCCCCAGTGATGTACCACTGTCTTTACTGGTCCCCACTGATGGACCATTGTCTTTACTGGTTCCCCACTGAAGGACCACTGTCTTTACTGGTCTCCACTGATGGCCCACTGTCTTTACTGGTCCCCACAGAGGGACCACTGTCTTTACTGGTCCCCACTGAGGGACCACTGTCTTTACTGGTCTCCACTGATGGCCCACTGTCTCTACTGGTCCCCACTGAGGGACCACTGTCTTTACTGGTCCCCATTGAGGGACCACTGTCTTTACTGGTCTCCACTGATGGACCACTGTCTTTACTGGCCCCCACTGATGGACCACTGTCTTTACGGGTCCCCACTGATGGACCACTGTCTTTACTGGTCCCCATTGAGGGACCACTGTCTTTACTTATTGGTCCCCCATTGAGGGACCACTGTCTAAACTGGTCCCTACTGAAGGACCACTTTCTTTACTGGTCCCCAACTGATTGACCACTGTCTTTACTGGTCCCCCACTGAGGGACCACTGTCTGTACTGGTCCCCCACTGAAGGACCACTGTCTGTACTGGTCCCCCACTGAAGGACCACTGTCTGTACTGGTCCCCCACTGAAGGACCACTGTCTGTACTGGTCCCTCACTGAAGGACCACTGTCTGTACTGGACCCCCACTGAAGGACCACTGTCTGTACTGGTCCCCCACTGAAGGACCACTGTCTGTACTGGTCCCCCACTGAAGGACCACTGTCTGTACTGGTCCCCCACTGAAGGACCACTGTTTGTACTGGTCCCCCACTGAAGTACACTGTCTTTACTGGTCCCCCACTGAAGTACCACTGTCTTTACTGGTCACCACAGATGGACCACTGTCTGTACTTATTGGTCCCCACTGAGGGACCACTGTCTTTACTGGTCCCCCACTGAAGTACCACTGTCTTTACTGGTCCCCACTGAGGGACCACTGTCTTTACTGGTCCCCCACAGAGGGACCATTGTCTTTATTGGTCCCCATTGAGGGACCACTGTCTTTATTGGTCCCCATTGAGGGACCACTGTCTTTACTGGTCCCCATTGAGGCACCACTGTCTTTACTTAATGGTCCCCACTGAGGCACCACTGTCTTTACTTACTGGTCCCCACTGAGGGACCACTGTCTTTACTGGTCCCCCACTGAGGCACCACTGTCTTTACTTACTGGTCCCCACTAAAGGACCACTGTCTTTACTGGTCCCTACTGATGGACCACTGTCTTTACTGGTCCCCACTGATGGACCACTGTCTTTACTGGTCCCAACTGAGGGACCACTGTCTTTACTGGTCCCCACTGAGGGACCACTGTCTTTACTGGTCCCCACTGAGGGACCACTGTCTTTACTGGTCCCCCACTGAGGGACCCTGTCTTTACTGGTCCCCACTGATGGACCACTGTCTTTACTGGTCCCCACTGATGGACCACTGTCTTTACTGGTCCCCACTGATGGACCACTGTCTTTACTGGTCCCCACTGATGGACCACTGTCTTTACTGGTCCCCACTGATGGACCACTGTCTTTACTGGTCCCCACTGAAGGACCACTGTCTTTACTGGTCCCCACTGAGGGACCACTGTCTTTACTGGTCCCCCACTGATGGACCACTGTCTTTTCTGGTCACCACTGATGGACCACTGTCATTACTGGTCCCCTACTGAGGGACCATTGTCTTTACTGGTCCCCCACTGAGGGACCACTGTCTTTACTGGTCCCCACTGATGGACCACTGTCTTTACTGGTCCCCACTGAGGGACCACTGTCTTTAATGGTCCCCACTGAGGGACCACTGTCATTACTGGTCCCCACTGAGGGACCACTGTCTTTACTGGTCCCCACTGAGGGACCACTGTCTTTACTGGTCCCCACTGAGGGACCACTGTCTTTACTGGTCCCCACTGAGGGACCACTGTCTTTACTGGTCCCCGCTGAGGGACCACTGTCTTTACTGGTCCCCACTGAGGGACCACTGTCTTTACTGGTCCCCCACTGAGGGACCACTGTCTTTACTGGTCCCCACTGACGGACCACTGTCTTTACTGGTCCCCACTGAGGGCCCACTGTCTTTACTTATTGGTCCCCACTGAGGGACCACTGTCTTTACTTATTGGTCCCCACTGAGGGACCACTGATTTACTGGTCCCCACTGAGGGACCACTGTCTTTACTGGTCCCCTACTGAGGGACCACTGTCTTTACTGGTCCCCCACTGAGGGACCACTGTCTTTACTGGTCCCCACTGACGGACCACTGTCTTTACTGGTCCCCCACTGAGGGACCACTGTCTTTGCTGGTCCCCACTGAGGGCCCACTGTCTTTACTTATTGGTCCCCACTGAGGGACCACTGTCTTTACTTATAGGTCCCCACTGAGGGACCACTGATTTACTGGTCCCCACTGAGGGACCACTGTCTTTACTGGTCCCCACTGAGGGACCACTGTCTTTACTGATCCCCACTGAGGGACCACTGTCTTTACTGGTCCCCCACTGAAGGACCACTGTCTTTTCTTGTCCCCCACTGAAGGATCACTGTCTTTACTGGTCTCCACTGATGGACCACTGTCTTACTGGTCTCCACTGATGGACCACTTTCTTTACTGGTCTCCACTGATGGACCACTGTCTTTACTGGTCCCTATTGATGGACCACTGTTGTAACACTGTAAAAGTGTTTGGTTTAGTTTATTTAAAATATATATAGTATATGAGTCACAGACAGGGATTTGGAAAGGCGCCAGGTTGTCGGCCTGAGATCTCACACCTCAAAGCGTTAATGACCCCCAAGTGACCTGAGGTCAGATCATGCGAATTTCACCTTACTTCTACTAATCTCATAATTGGAGCCTGGTAGCCTTCAAACATGCCGACGTTTAAGGAGTGGCTTGGTAGAGAGCCGGAGGCTATCTACTTGTGGGCGGAGTTAGTTACTAGGCTCCCCAATATATACTCGGAGAGCGATCGATTCGAGAGCATTAGCCTTAACAAGACAGAAGACCAGGCAGCAGAACAGGAGGACAACAGCCGAGACAGGCTGTCGGTCGGACGGGGGTGAAGCTGCCTGACAGCTGCAGACTCTCCCCCCCCCCCTCTATCCAGTTATAGGCAGAGACACTTGGTGAGTTGAGCAGTAAGGTGACTTGGTCGTGTTTTACAAGCGTTGTGTGATGATCAGGGGCAGTCAGTTGTAGTGTTCTCAGATTCTTGGAGGATGACTCACTTTGAATATTAATCTTTAACATTTTAATTGGATTGCTTAAGTTATGATACTTATCATGAAAAATATAAATGTTGAATTTATTATTTAAATGGTCTTTCACTGTGTTCCTAGAAATTTTGAGTTGAGGTGAGAAAGCCTCTGTGATTACTGGTTTCATGGTTTAGAATGAGTACAGGATAGAGATGGGACATATCAATAATGACCTTCATAACATCTTTTGAGAATTTTGTGATACAGACAAGTTCCATTCCTTGTCTTGTATGTGATGATCTAGAATGGATGGTGGCAGCATTTCGTCTTCTACTATCTACTCTTCTACTTCTACTATCTACTCTTCTACTTCTACCTATCTATTCCTCTCCCTCCACCCCTCTCTAAACTCTCACTTTCAACTAATGACCCTCCTCGCTCCTCCCACCTCTCTGCCTCTCACCCCAAACCCTCACTAATTACTTCACTATTCATTTCTTTCCTTTCGCTCTCTCTTATACGTTTGTGGCAATGATTCTGTATTCTAGAGTTCTCTCTAGAGTTTCGGGTAGCTGATCCAGTTACGGCGCCTTGTAGTCTTAGCACCTAGGTAGTCAAATACCTAGGTTACAAGGTGTTGAACGAGAGAGGCTGCCTTAGGAACTCTGGAGGTGCTCTAGAATAGTTAGCTAACTGAGGACGGGATAACGGACTAGAGAGAGCTGTTTCCCCCGGCCTCGTTAGTTAACTGGGGGGTGGAATAATGGACAAGATAGAGCTATTTTCCCCCCCCCCCGTTACACTGTCTTTACTGGTCCCCACTGATTGACCACTGTCTTTACTGGTCCCCACTGAGGGACCACTGTCTTTACTGGTCCCCACTGAGGGACCACTGCCTGTACTGGTCCCCCACTGAAGGACCACTGTCTTTACTGGTCACCACTGAGGGACCACTGTCTTTACTGGTCACCACTGATGGACCACTGTCTTTACTGGTCTCCCACTGATGGACCACTGTCTTTACTGGTCCCCCACTGACGGACCACTGTCTCCACTTCATCAGTGCTCAGGTGTTGAATACTTGTTCATTGTTTAATTCCGTTTAAGATAGTTTCATGAGTGTAACCATTTTCCTTTCGGCTTTTCCCATGAACCCAACTTGATCACATATATTAAACCACATGAGCAAGATATGCCTTTGTCTCTCCACTTGCAGCAACGAGTCCAGATCTCTGTGGACACGACTCAAAGTATCCTGCTCCATGTACTCTGAGCGGCCAATAGAAATCCAGTCAATAGAAATCTAGAAAGGGGGTTCCTAGAAATCTAGTCCTACAAATTTCAGTTAATAAGACTCCTAAAATAGTGGATTCAGGTCCTGAAAAGGTCAACAGGGCATTGCAAGGAAAGTTTTAGTTGCAGTCAACCCGTGTCATCATGGGGCTCAATCCCTTACACAGATAAGAGAGCTGTACAAGAGAGCAGTCAACCCGTGTCATCATGGGGCTCAATCCCTTACACAGATAAGAGAGCTCTACAAGACAAAACCCAACCCCTGGAGTGGAAGAGATTGTCTTGCAACACAAGATTCAACTTCATGCAACGGAGATCTGGCAGTGATCCCCGTTGGTGTGTAATCTAATCTCCTCGCTGGACCCAACTGTTCTTCATTTGTGCCGGAGATGTCCTTGCTGGGAGGGAAGTGGAGGAAGACAGAGGTGGACGCTGGAGACATTGGGGGGGGGGGGGAGGTGTGGTGGGCGGAGTGGGGGGAGGTGTGGGGGGCGGTGTGGGGGGAGGTGTGGGGGGAGGTGTGGGGGGCGGTGTGGGTGGAGGTGTGGGGGGAGGTGTGGGGGGGAGGTGTGGGGGGCGGTGTGGGGGGAGGTGTGGGGGGCGGTGTGGGTGGAGGTGTGGGGGGAGGGGGAGAGAAGTGGAGGGAGAAAAGAGAGCTCCGTGAAGTCTTACCTTGCAAGTCACACGCATCCCCACGGTCCTCCAAGTGCAACACTGGGGACCACGACCCAAGGCGAGGGCCCCCCAACCACGACCCAAGGCGAGGGCCCCCCAACCACGACCCAAGGCGAGGGCCCCCGACCACGACCCAAGGCGAGGGCCCCGGACCACGACCCAAGGCGAGGGCCCCCGACCACGACCCAAGGCGAGGGCCCCGGACCACGACCCAAGGCGAGGGCCCCGGACCACGACCCAAGGCGAGGACTCCCCGACCACGACCCAAGGCGAGGACTCCCCGACCACGACCCAAGGCGAGGACTCCCCGACCACGACCCAAGGCGAGGGCCCCCCGACCACGACCCAAGGCGAGGGCCCCGGACCACGACCCAAGGCGAGGGCCCCGGACCACGACCCAAGGTGAGGACCCCCGACCACGACCCAAGGCGAGGGCCCCCGACCCAAGGCGAGGGCCCCCAACCACGACCCAAGGCGAGGGCCCCCGACCACGACCCAAGGCGAGGGCCCCCGACCACGACCCAAGGCGAGGGCCCCCGACCACGACCCAAGGCGAGGGCCCCCCAACCACGACCCAAGGCGAGGGCCCCCGACCACGACCCAAGGCGAGGGCCCCCGACCACGACCCAAGGCGAGGGCCCCCCAACCACGACCCAAGGCGAGGGCCCCCCAACCACGACCCAAGGCGAGGGCCCCCAACCACGACCCAAGGCGAGGGCCCCCGACCACGACCCAAGGCGAGGGCGCCCGACCACGACCCAAGGTGAGGACCCCCCGACCACGACCCAAGGCGAGGGCCCCCGACCACGACCCAAGGCGAGGGCCCCCGACCACGACCCAAGGCGAGGGCGCCCGACCACGACCCAAGGTGAGGACCCCCCGACCACGACCCAAGGCGAGGGCCCCCGACCACGACCCAAGGCGAGGGCCCCCGACCACGACCCAAGGCGAGGGCCCCCAACCACGACCCAAGGCGAGGGCCCCCGACCACGACCCAAGGCGAGGGCCCCCGACCACGACCCAAGGCGAGGGCCCCCCAACCACGACCCAAGGCGAGGGCCCCCAACCACGACCCAAGGCGAGGGCCCCCGACCACGACCCAAGGCGAGGGCGCCCGACCACGACCCAAGGTGAGGACCCCCCGACCACGACCCAAGGCGAGGGCCCCCGACCACGACCCAAGGCGAGGGCCCCGGACCACGACCCAAGGCGAGGGCGCCCGACCACGACCCAAGGTGAGGACCCCCCGACCACGACCCAAGGCGAGGGCCCCCGACCACGACCCAAGGCGAGGGCCCCCGACCACGACCCAAGGCGAGGGCCCCGGACCACGACCCAAGGCGAGGGCCACCCAACCACGACCCAAGGCGAGGGTCCCGGACCACGACCCAAGGCGAGGGCCCCCGACCACGACCCAAGGCGAGGGCCCCGGACAACGACCCAAGGCGAGGGTCCCGGACCACGACCCAAGGCGAGGACCCCCCGACCACGACCCAAGGCGAGGACCCCCCAACCACGACCCAAGGTGAGGGCCCCCCAGCCACGACCCAAGGTGAGGGCCCCCAGCCACGACCCAAGGCGAGGACCCCCCGACCACGACCCAAGGCGAGGGCCCCGGACCACGACCCAAGGCGAGGGCCCCCCAACCACGACCCAAGGCGAGGACCCCCCAACCACGACCCAAGGTGAGGGCCCCCCAGCCACGACCCAAGGTGAGGGCCCCCCAGCCACGACCCAAGGTGAGGGCCCCCCAACCACGACCCAAGGCGAGGGCCCCCCAACCACGACCCAAGGCGAGGGCCCCCCAACCAAGACCCAAGGCGAGGACCCCCCGACCACGACCCAAGGCGAGGGCCCCGGACCACGACCCAAGGCGAGGGCCCCCCAACCACGACCCAAGGTGAGGACCCCCCAACCACGACCCAAGGTGAGGGCCCCCCAACCACGACCCAAGGCGAGGTCCCCCCGACCACGACCCAAGGCGAGGGCCCCCGAACCACGACCCAAGGTGAGGGCCCCCCAACCACGACCCAAGGCGAGGGCCCCCAACCACGACCCAAGGTGAGGGCCCCCCAACCACGACCCAAGGTGAGGGCCCCCCAACCACGACCCAAGGTGAGGGCCCCCCAACCACGACCCAAGGCGAGGGCCCCGGACCACAACCCAAGGTGAGGACCCCCCAACCACAACCCAAGGTGAGGACCCCCCAACCACGACCCAAGGTGAGGGCCCCCCAACCACGACCCAAGGCGAGGGCCCCGGACCACGACCCAAGGCAAGGGCCCCGGACCACAACCCAAGGCGAGGGCCCCGGTCCACGACCCAAGGCGAGGGCCCCGGACCACGACCCAAGGCGAGGGCCCCGGACCACGACCCAAGGCGAGGGCCCCGGACCACGACCCAAGGCAAGGGCCCCGGACCACGACCCAAGGCGAGGGCCCCCCAACCACGACCCAAGGCGAGGACCCCCCAACCACGACCCAAGGTGGGGCCCCCCCAACCACGACCCAAGGCGAGGGCCCCCCAACTACGACCCAAGGCGAGGGCCCCCCGACCACGACCCAAGGCGAGGGCCCCGGACCACGACCCAAGGCGAGGGCCCCCCAACCACGACCCAAGGTGAGGGCCCCCCAACCACGACCCAAGGTGAGGACCCCCCAACCACGACCCAAGGTGAGGACCCCCCAACCACGACCCAAGGTGAGGACCCCCCAACCACGACCCAAGGTGAGGGCCCCCCAACCACGACTCAAGGTGAGGACCCCCCAACCACGACCCAAGGCGATGGCCCCCCAACCACGACCCAAGGCGAGGGCCCCCAACCACGACCCAAGGCGAGGGCCCCCCAACCACGACCCAACGCGAGGACCCCCCAACCACGACCCAAGGTGAGGACCCCCCAACCACGACCCAAGGTGAGGGCCCCCCAACCACGACCCAAGGTGAGGACCCCCCAACCACGACCCAAGGCGATGGCCCCCCAACCACGACCCAAGGCGAGGGCCCCCCAACCACGACCCAAGGCGAGGGCCCCGGACCACGACCCAAGGCGAGGGCCCCCCAACCACGACCCAAGGCGAGGACCCCCCAACCACGACCCAAGGTGAGGACCCCCCAACCACGACCCAAGGTGAGGGCCCCCCAACCACGACCCAAGGTGAGGACCCCCCAACCACGACCCAAGGCGAGGGCCCCCCAACCACGACCCAAGGCGAGGACCCCCCAACCACGACCCAAGGCGAGGGCCCCCGACCACGACCCAAGGCGAGGGCCCCCGACCACGACCCAAGGCGAGGGCCCCCGACCACGACCCAAGGCGAGGGCCCCCGACCACGACCCAAGGTGAGGGCCCCCAACCACGACCCAAGGCGAGGGCCCCCAACCACGACCCAAGGTGAGGGCCCCCGCCCCAGTTCTACACACAAACCACAACCAAGACCCATTTATCTCACTCGTGGGTCCCTGTGACCCTCGCCTCACCCTCGCTACTGCCGCCGCCCATGACCAAGAAATATTACCTCCCTTGCTTTAAACTTGCAACATGTCTGCTAAAACCAAAAAACACCGCCATCGGAAAGAAACGGAAAACATTTACTGTACCCAACTGTTCTGTGTTTTGCAATTTGTTTTTTGTAATAAATACTGGTGAGATTTGAGCTGGGAGGGAGAGACCTGCACGAGATGTTGACTCCGGGAGCAGATTGGCGATTTGCAGCGGTCATTCTTGTAAAACAAACAAACTCATAATTTGTCAGTGAAATACAGTTTTCCCTTTGTGGTTGAGGCGTTTGTGAGGCGGAGTCTCCGGTGTTGGCCTTCCCTTCATCTGTTATTAGCCCAACGTCACGCTTGTTTGTCTCCTGTCAGTGTTATGGTAGGGTCAGCTCTCTATCACACGCACGCACGCACGCACACACATTGAGGGGCGGGACCTAAGTGCTAAAGCTCAACCCCCGCAAGCACAACTAAGTGAGTACAACTAGGTGTGTACACACACACACACACATAGATAAATATATATATATATATATATCTAAATATATTTATAAATATACATATATAAGGGTAGATGAAGACAGACTATTTAACACAAGGGGCACACGAACTAGGGAACACAGGTGGAAACTGAGTGCCCAAATGAGCCACAGAGATATTAGAAAGAACTTTTTTAGTGTCAAAGTGGTTGACAAATGGAATGCACTAGGAAGTGATGTGGTGGAGGCTGACTCCATACACAGTTTCAAGTGTAGATATGATAGAGCCCAATAGGCTCGGGAACCTGTACACCTGTTGATTGACAGTTGAGAGGCGGGACCAAAGAGCCCCGCTCTTTGTCGATGTCGATGTCGATGTTCGCGAATGATGCAAAATTAATGAGAAGAGTAGAGACAGATGAGGATTACAGGATCCTCCAAGAGGACTTGAACAGGTTGCAGAGATGGTTCAAAGAAATGGCTACTGGAGTTCAACACGAGCAAATGCAAAGTTATGGAAATGGGATAAGGAGATAGGAGACCAAAGGAACAGTATACAACGAAGGGGAACTGCCTACCTGTACCGATTCGAGAAAGAGACCTGGGAATGGACGTAACACCTAATCTATCTCCTGAAGCACATATAAATAGGATATTGACAGCAGCGTACTCTACACTGGCAAAAGTTAGATCATCATTCAGAAAGGTAAGTGAGGAGGCATTTAGGGCGCTTTACACTGCCTACGTGAGACCAGTCTTGGAGTATGCCGCACCATCATGGAGTCCCCACCTGAAGAAACACATAAGAAAACTGGAAAAGGTTCAGAAGTTTGTGACGAGGATTGTACCAGAGTTACGAGGGATATGATATGAAGAGCACTTGAAGGAACAGAACCTTACGACACTGGAAGAAAGAAGGGAGAGGGGGAATATGATAGGAACATATAAAATACTCAGGGGAATTGACAGTGGAAATCGAAGGAATGTTCACATGTAATAGTAACAGAACGAGGGGTCATGGGTGGAAGCTGGAAACTCAGATGAGTCAGAGATGTTAGGAAGTTTCCTTTAGCGTGAGAGTAGTGGAAAAATGGAATGCACTTAAGGAGCAGGTTGTGGAAGCAAACTCTATTCATAATTTTAAAACTAGATTTGATAGGGAAATAGGACCGGAGCCATTGCTGTAAACAACCGATGGCTCGAAAGGCAGGATCCAAGAGTCAATGCTCGATCTTGCAGGCATAAATAGGTGGGTACAAATAGGTGAGTACACACACACACACACACACACACACTCCCACACCCACCTTAGCTGCCCAGACCCCATCCGCAGCACACAACGAGGGAGACATGGTCAGATGCGCTACAAGAACTCTGGTAACAGTTTCCAAGAAGTCTCAAGATACACCAATGCTGATGGGGTATCCAACAGAGCAGAGGAAATAAAAGAAAGGGTTAGTGAAGCAGATCCAGATATAATTGCAATAGTGGAAACTAAAATGAATGATATGATCTGAGAAGTACTTAATGTCAGTTTCCATTGAGTGTTCACAACCGAGCCCAAGCAGCTCCCATTGTTAGAAGAAGAAATGACCCAAGATGAGAGACTAACGGATATAGAAGTGACAGCAGAGGCAGTAATGAAACAGTTAACAACACTGGATGAAACTGAAGCAGCTGCATGGACCAGACAATGTATCACCATGGATACTAAAAGAGGCTGCCCAGGCACTCAGAGTGCCTCTAGCAAGGAACTATAAAGAGTCACTTATGAAGGGAGCCCAGCCCAGTTGTTGGAAAAAGGCAAATGTGGTACCAGTTTTCAAAAAAGGACATAGGGACGAGGCACTTAACTAGAGACCAGTATCACTGATAAGCATCTCCTGTAAAGTACTTGAAAGAATAATCAGGATAAGACTGGTTACACACCTGGAGAACATTAGGTATGTAAACTAACACCAACATGGGTTTAGAGAAGGGAAATCATACCTAACAAACTTGGAATTTTATGATATAGTAGTAACAAAAATATGGCAGGACAGGAAATAATGGACAGATTGCATATTTCCGGACTGCCAAAAAGCTTTTGATAAAATATCGCACAGGAGATTAATATACAAATTTGAGAGGCAGGCAGGAGTAAGCAGCAAGGCCCTAGCATGGGTAAGGACTACCTAACAGTAAAGAGCCAGAGAGTAAGGGGCAAGTAATTTATATCATCTTATAATTAATCATCTTGTAATTAAATGTAATTACATGTTATGTAATTTATATCATCGACATAAATTGCATGTCTAGAGGGTCTTTTATTTATATTTGAAATAGAATTGGTCCCAGCACCGATCCTTGAGGTACTCCACTCGTTACTGTTCACCAGTCCGACTTCTTGCCCCTTACCTTAAATTACTTAATTACAAGACATGTAATTTATGTCGATGTAAGGGGCAAGAAGTCGGACTGGTGAACAGTAACGAGTGGAGTACCTCAAGGATCGTTGCTAGGACCAATTCTATTTCAAATATACATAAAAGACCCTCTAGACATGTAATTTATGTCGATGATGACTAAACCACACATCCGAAGGTGGAGAACCTACGACGTTTAGCTCCGTCCTGGACCGAAACGTCGATCCAGGACGGTCGTTTCGGTCCAGGATCTATCACACGATCTTCTCTCAAATCGTGTGATAGAAGAGAAGATTGACTGATGATTAATGAGGATTAAGCCACCCAAGAGGTGGCACGGGCATGAATAGCCCGTAAAAGAAGAAAGGATTGTTGTTGTTTTAGATTTAGCTACTCAGAACGAAATGTCCATGTAGCACGGACTATGGCGAGCCCGTAAAGAAGAAAGGATGGTACGGGTAAATAAATACGGTAAGAGAGTGAGGTGAGGAGACGGTAAGAGAAGAAGGTTGTTTCTAGGAAAGGTAAGAGGAAGGTGAAAGGTAAGAATAGGATGAGTGTAAGAATGGGATGATTATAAAAATGGGTGAAGAAAGCCGGGAAGTGATAGGATTAAAGAAAAGAACAGAGTAAGAATAAGGGTAGGTGTAAGTCAGGTCACGTTTGTTAGGAAGGTTGGAGCATCTTAGTATGTACTGTGAAGGGAAGAGTCAACAGCAACAAAGCCAGGACTGAGGTTCATGTTGTAGCTCTTGAAATAGCACTTTGTCTGTAACTAGTTGACATAGTAACTATAAGGTGTGAAGGATAGATGAAATTGTTTATGTAATAATCTAAGATGAGGTCTGATAAAGACCTTTTGTGCCCTCTGTAATGCTTTTGCGCTACCGCTCACAGGATGAATATGAGGTTCACAATTAACTAGCCGCCAACGGCGGCAACAATCAAATCAGTTTTGGGGGAGGTTGTGTATCAGAGCTGAGTCAACAAGACGGCGTCTGTGTAGAGTGGAGGCAAATGCTCCAGGACGGACCGAATCGTCGTCGTTCCTCTATCTTCTAATGTGGGGTTTGGTCGTCATATCTTCAGCCAAGTTATTGTGACTCGTCATCTGATTATATGTTGATGTTTGTGGATGAAGATAAATGAATGAGACAAGTTGCGACAAAGGAGGACTGTAGGATCTTCCAAGAGGACGTGAACAAGCTGCACAGATGGTCAAAGTTATGCTCCTGGAGGTCAACACGAGCAGATGTTAAGGGATGGAAATGTAAACCTGACTCTCACTGTTGTTAATGTATGCATAATTATATATTCATCTCCTCAGTTTGTCATATATGAATACAATTACCACATGTTTTTCAGCACAAACTATTTCAGCTTGATGACGTGTGTTCAGTTGTTATTGTATTATTTACTCTGTTGTATTATATTGTATGAGAGACGGTCATGTGGGCATCGCCTCAGTGGACAGGTACTGTACACGGGCACTGTCACGTGTACTGGTGGTCGCCATTTTTACCAATTTTGTATTGCATTCATTTATTATTTTCCTTATAAAACGCATATTATTTTAAGTTGTTATTCCTGAATGTATAATATTACATACTTTTGTATAGACGCGTTTGTGAGTAATTATCACAGAGTGTTTGTGTCTGTTAAGAGTTTTGGTCAGTCATAGTTGGTTACTGCCCTGGAAACACACACCGAAACTGTCTCTATTTTCCGCTTGTTACAACTTGTAATAAAGTTGTTACATCTTGCCTTAACGTGTTTATGACGTATTAGAACGTTGTTACAACTTGCTATATTGGTGGTTGTTGTTTGTCTTGTTGTTTCAGATTTAGCTACTCAGAACGAAGTGTCCATGTAGCATGTGCTACATGCTACATGTAGCATGTAGCATGTAGCACATGCTACATGTAGCAGTAAGCCCGTAATATTGGTTGTTATAACTTGTTAGGTGTTAAAACTTGCTCGAACGTTGTACCAACGTCGTAGTTTCGGTGTGTGTTTGGCGGGTGTGTTCTTGGTCGGTGGAGCGGGGCAGTCTGTGAGGTAGGA